AAATATTCGTTTAATAAATTTAAATACAGTATTTAAATTTAATATATAACTCTTTAGTAGAATTTGCTAACCACCATTTCGCCAACAATCTACATATAACCAGCACTAATATATAAGTCAAGCCAATCCTAACTTAAATCTGTCAATTTTGTTTGCAAAACAGTTAGCAAAATTAGTTTACGTGAAGATATATAACATTGCTGAATTATTGTAGCATATCCATTAATCAATTATTAAAATATATAGATTTACCTTATGATAGTAATTAAGCCTGTCTTCCTCTCGTTTCAATTGGTAATAGTATCATACAAATGCCAGATAATGCGAAAAGAGATGCAGATAAATAAAGAGGTATAGAGATGTTGTAAGAGAGAAGAACACCTGTTACTATCGGAGCAATTATACCAGCTCTATTACAACATTAAAAATATAATATTCGAAATAAAATAAGAAATCATTATCTGTTGTAAAAATATAATTATAAAAAAAATACGAGACGATAACTTACACTCTTGAAAGTGCTGCACTAATTCCACATGCAGTACCTCTTAGTTTAACTTCAAATACTTCAGGTGTGTACCCATATATTACAGCATAATTAAGAGTCGCCAAAAGGCTTACAATTGCTGAAGAAACAACTTCAGCAGTACGAGAACGGACAGTAGAGAACAAGATTACTGCCAGAGAAGTTCCGAAAGTCGCTAGAGCCATACTACCCTTGCGACCTAATCTTGTTTCAATAAGGTAGGATGCAAGTATAGAGCCTGGAATCCCACAAACAGAATATATCACATAATCTCCTAAAACCTCTCGTATTAAAGTTATACCATCAATATTCTCATCATTACTCAAACCTAGCGATTCTAAATATGTAGGTAAAAAAACATTAAACATAATATAAGCAAAAGCGACAAGTATCCAAATGCAAAACACAAGAATGGTTGTTTTAATCCATTTTCTACTGAATAGTGGTTTGATCGGATGAAGTTTTAACAAGAACCACTGTATAGGATCAGAAAAAAATCTAACTTGAGGTTGAGGAGTATCATTGGGAAATGATTCTGTATGATTGGAATTGGCCGAATTGATAGTTGCAGATTGGATATCACTTTCTTTATTATTGACAGTTGCAGATTGGATATCACTTTCTTTAATATCTATTGGATTTCCATTTATTTTAGCAATTTTGCGTAAAACAGTGACAGCATCGTGTGTTTTATCTTGTGAGTTAAGAAACTTTGGTGATTCTTGAAGACGGAAAAATAATATACGACAAATAAACATTATGAAAGTCTTATGAAATAAAATTAAAAAAAAAAACAGAACATTATTTAGGATTAATCAGTCATTATTAATATATAAACATAAAAATGACGAACTAACCAGTGTTCCCAGAATACCCAACACGTATCTCCAACCATTGTTATGTTCATTAACATTACAATTATCGTTAAATGATTTTACACAACTATACTGGGGTAAAACCAAATAAGCAACAATTGAGGTAATAACGGCACCAAATGAAAAGAAGACGGACAATGTAGTAAGAAGATATTGATGGGACTTTGGTATAAATTCCAGGAATAAGGCACCTAATAAAAAAAAAACAACTAGTTAATCATCACGAAAAAAACAAGTCATTAAATACACTACCGAAAAAGTTGCACCATCAACTGGCATATTTCCACCAACGCTAAATCCCGTAAGAAATAATAGAATGCATAACTGGACGAAACTTTGCATAAAGGCTGTGATGGTGGTTAGCAAATTCTACTAAAGAGTTATATATTAAATTTAAATACTGTATTTAAATTTATTAAACGAATATTT